TAGAAAATAGTCGCTATAGTCAAGTTAATGCCCTTAAATAAATTTTCAAAAATCTCAAGAGACTCATCAGTGTCACAATTTAACCAACTGAGGTGCCCTGAAATAAAAATATTTAATATTTCGCTGGGCAGGGTGGCTCATGCCTGTAATCCCAGCACTTTGGGAGGCTGAGGCAGGCGGATCACCTGAGGTCAGGAGTTCAAGACCAGCCTGGCCAACTTGGTGAAATCCCGTCTCTACTAAAAATACAAAAATTAGTCGGGTGTGGTGGCAGGCACCTGTAATCCCAGCTACTCAGGAGGCTGAGGCAGGAGAATTGCTTGACCCCGGGAGGTGGAGGTTGCAGTGAGCGGAGATTGCACCACTGCATTCCAGCCTGAGTGACAAAGTGAGACTTGTCTTAAAACAAACAAACAAACAAAAAAACCCAAAAACTTAATATTTCAAATCAAGGAGAAAAATCAAAGCTAATTCCTTACATTTTGAGGAATTCTTTCACACAACTGTATCACAAAGTTACTGATTAAAACTGTTTTAAAGTAATGTTTATATAATATTAAATAACTGGTGATAAGATCACTTTAGATCAAATGGAAGATCAATAACCACCAATACACTTAGCTTCATAGTAGCCAAATTTTCTATAGTCAAGCAATGATAAATTTTCGTATTTGGTAAATAATAGCTCTTATGGAATTCCACTTGAAATGGGAATTAAAAATTTAGTCAATTCCATTTGTATTTTACTGTTGCAGTATTCTATTCTCTTACTGTTAAAAAAAAAAAAAAAAAGATGAGTGCTAGCCTGCTTTTGGCACTGAATAGCTATAAGCAACTGATCCTAATGGTTTTAAGTTTGAACATTTGGCAGGACTAGTTGATAAATGGATACTTTCCCTCTCAGTTTTTCCCTTCTGCGACCTAGATGGTTTTTTAACCTTCTATTTCTCTTTTATAAAAATCTACATTTTGACAAACCTTTCCAGATCTAGCCACTGTATAAATTTATACATGAAAAGAGGCAATGAGTTTTTGAAGGTTTTCTTTGCCAACATTACAGCAACAACGTCTCTGTGAAGCTATTAACAACAACACTGCAAATACAAATTCAGATACATGTAGTCTCTGACCTACAGGTGGCTACTTTACTTTCAACACATACATACAGATACAGAGTTTGCAGTCACTACCACAGGTTCGTCTCCACTCTTCCTTCTGTCATATCTGAGATCCAGGGTCTTTGACCATGAAAACCATTACAGGAAAAAACAGGAACTTCTGAATTTTAGCAAATTAAAAGCAAGCATATCTCAATGGAGCTGCATAGGGTAAGTAGGTGGCTACAATAGGAAGATCAGGACAATGTGGCGAGAAAGGAAAAACGGATGTGGGATGGGAATACACGAAGGAAGGAGAATATTAAAAAATTATTCTATGTTGGGAATGGTGGTTCATTGCCTGTAATCCCAGCACTCCAGAAGGTTGAGGCAGGTGGATCACCTGAGCTCAGGAGTTTAAGACCTGCCTGGGAAACATGGCAAAACCACTTCTACACAAAAAAATTAGCTTGGCATGCTGGCCTGTGACTGCAGTCCCAGCTACTTGGGAGGCTGAGTTGGGAGGATTGCTTGACCCCTGGAGGTTGAGGCTGCAGTGAGCCATGATCATGCCACTGTACTGCAGCCTGGGCAACAGCAAAATCATGTCTGAAAAACAAACAAAAAAACCCAAAAGTTTTTCTAGCCAGTTGTAATTTTTATATGGAGTCAGGCCTATGACCAAAAGGATGAGCAGAAAATGTCCTTTTCTTACCACAGTATAAGTAACAAAAAGAAAAAAAAAAGTAAGAAATTAAAATTATTGCTGGCTAGCTCAGAAACCTAGCCACCAGTCTTAATAGTTTTTATAAGAAAATAGATTATAAGTTTCCAATGCACTCAACCAACATATAAATGCAGTGAATTAGGCTGACATGATCCCATCTCCTATGTCCAGTGGGAAAATAAATAAAAACTAGTAAACAAGCAAATAAAAAAATTACACACTGTGATAGACACAATGAGGAAAACAAGTGCCAAGATAGAAAATAGCTGGGGGTACACATTTTAAATAGGGTGAAGTCTTCAAGTAGCTTTTATACCAAGCTCAGAGGAAAAGAAGGAGCCAGACATTTTAGGAGAGCAGGAGGAAGAATAATCCAAGAAAATGGAACACACCCTGAGATTACAGTAAAGAGTTTGTCTTGCTCAGGTACAAGAGAGATCACCACGGATGGACAGGAGTAAACCAGATGGAAGAACGAGATAAAATGAAGTTTGGAGAATTAATGCAGAGTTGTGATTTTACTTGGATGTAATGGAAAGCAACCGATGTGCTTAGAAAGAAATCTGTAACTTTAGAACACAGCCAAAATTATTTGTTCACTGAGGATATGTTTTCATATATCATAATAGCACAAGTGAATATTTTAAACTGTATAAAATTCCCATCAGCTGTAACGCTGTAAGTCAGTTCATAATAATACTGTCACAGTCCTATAGCTATTGTAGCCTTTTCACTTGTAATCAGTAACTCCCTTCCTCTGTTAAAATCTGGCTCCAGTGCTCGGCTCCCTTTAAAGCACTCATCACACTTTGAACTATTTTTGTTTGATTTTTTTTTTTTTGGTCTTTCTCCCACACTTCTGTATACTCCACAAGTGCATGGGCCAAGCCTGTCTTGTTAACATTCTTTTCTCACAAGCTCATACCATACTTAGCACTATGTAGATAATCAATACTTATTTTAATCTAATTTAATTTAATTTTTTTGAGACAGGATCTCGCTCTGTAGCACAGGCTGGAGGCAGTACCGTGATCTTGGCTTACTGCAACCTCCTCTTCCTGGGTTCAAGCAATTCTTGTGTCTCAGCCACAGAGTAGCTAGGATTACGGGCGTGTGCCACCACACCCTACTAGTACGTAACCAGTACTTACTGAACAATTAACAAATATTACTCGTCTAGTATTTAATAAACACTTAGTTGTTCCAGACTCTGAGGAAACAAAAAGACTGAAATATACCATTCCATACATTTAAGAAGCTCAAAAGGGGGAGGGTGGGGTTTCATAAACAGCTAAGTTATGAATGCTATCAACAAACTGTTTTGTAAGTCCAGAGGAGAACTAGGAAAACACATACGGTCTGACAAAGAATTTTCTTTGTGCAAGCATAAATATTTATGTGGAAAATCCAAAAAAGGTAGAAAAGTATAATCAGAGATATTTAATCAATACCTTTACTAAAAAAGTCTATCATGCACAACGGCTGCATTTATATCAGCTGAGGATAATGGCATACTGGCTACATTATTCCTGTGTGGACTTTAGCATGGGGAACGGCTGACAAGTATCACATTGAAAAAAAAAAAACAAAAAACAAAACTCTAACTCCTGAGAAGTGCATAAGGTAAGCTTACACAATATACAACCTGTTGTGTGAAATTCCAGAATGTCCATCCCTGCCATGTCTAAGGGTGCCAAGTTTTGATCTGCACTGATTCAGCAGTATGTTTACAGTCTTTTCACAGGTAATTGGCTAAAGAAAAATACTCATGGCAACACTAGCAGAAAGGAAGGGCAAATTATAAAGAACAAGGAAAGAAAGGAGGGAAAAAAAGGAAAAGAAAACTAATAGGATCACAGGATTAAGTTCAGCATTATTTAACAAGTGATACATAGAGCAAGTTTACAAAAACAAAAGCCTTTTCAGCAGACTCGGAAGCAAAAACAGGGCTGTGTAACACAATTTAGATCTAGCGTTTTGCTGAAGTGAAATCTTGCACTCCTTAAAAGAGGAAATAGCTTTCTTCCCCCTTAAAACACACACACACACAACACAAACATCAGCAAAAGCTTGGCATTTTATAGATTATTTTTCTAGTCTCTTAAAAAAATAGCACAACATGACCCTCAAAAAGAACATCAGCACCTTTAGCCAGCTTAAAAAACAAATCTGCAGCCTAGAAAACAAAGAAATCGTGCAATAAAATGTAATTGGTATTAACACAAGGTAGATTTACCTAATTTATTTCTTAGAAGTGTTAGAAAGACAAGTTGTGCAGGGGGCTTTAACTAGTTTTTCTCAGCATAAAACGAATAGGCAAATAAATACTTTTAGAACCTCAATCACGAATTTTATGTGAATGGCAATGGCTCTAATTTAGTAATGCTCTAAATGCCCTTACCAAAGTCTAACTTGTGTTATAAGTCGTTCAACTCAACATCTACGAACTGGACATATTCCTAATAGTTCGAGGAGGCAATACATCTTTATTCTTTGTCCATATACAAGACACTAACATTTGCTGAAAAACAACTATGAATCTGCCTACTATTATACTACGGATTTACTGATGAACTAAAAGACTTCAAGCAAAATTATATATTTAATACTAATGATGCAAAATGGCAAAAATGACACCAAAATGCCAAGCACTGAATTGGAGAAAACAAGTTAAACACGACTAAACGTAAAGATCCCATTCATGCAGTGTTTCTGGGAATACTGGCAAACACCAGCAACTCTTCTGGTTATTTCTCCTTGCAAGACTACTGCTGAAATAAGCGCCGGCTAGCAGTCTCACAGCTTATCAATATAGGCTGAAATTTCTAGAAAAGTTGCTAACTAGAATCGAGTCCCAGCCACAAACATCAGCATCGCATTCTTAAGGAGAGGCAAACCCGGCAGAGGATGCCACACGGTGTGTGGACTTGCCAGCATTCGGGCAGGAGGGTGTGGACCTGACAGGCAAGGTCCGTTCCGCACGGGTAGCGCTCCCAGCCCTCGGCCCGCTCAGGCTGGCCCTCCATGGTTCTTCCCACCCCTACCTTTGGCTCCCACACAACAGTCCCCCGGCTCCCGCGCCGGCGCTCCGCCACCCCAATGTCTCCACAGAGGAGCAAGGGGGCAGTCGCCCCTCGCCTCCCCACAACCCCGCGCGCGAGGCCACCCTGCGCCAGGAAGGACTGCGTTCGCCTCGCGCGAGTCCATACACAGCTATATCCTAATGACCCGCCCCAGAGCATCCAGTCCTTTCTCCACCGGCCCCTACAACGCCCTTCAAATCCTTCACGCCCGGTGACCGCGTCCCGCAGCCTTACCCTGACCCCAACAAGCACACCCCTAGAGATACCACCTCCGACTCCAGCCGACTGGATGACTGATCCGCGGCAGCACGTTCACGACACTTTCGCGATTGCCGTAAAGGGAAACAAGGTTTGAAAGAGCAGCGCCGTAAGCGCGCTCCTCGGGGCCGTGAGCGCGCCCCGGGGGCCGGCCGGTCAGATCGGGAGCGCGCCCTAAGGCCCAGCCCTGTCTCCTTCTAGCGGGCGGGCTTAGGCGCTATCGGTCAGCGCTGGTCCGTCTGGTAAGGTAAGCCGAAGTAGGGGAGAAACGACAGGCCCCAGCGCTTGGAGCCCGCTCCCTTTAGAAGGGTGCGTCAGAGGTTGGGATCTGGCAGCTTGGGAAGTAGGCGCAGCCTGGAGCCCCCTTACCCGCGTGGCGGGCGCGCGAGACTCGTGCTGGCTCTCATTGCCTCCGGGGGCTACCTTGTGCCAGGCGCCAGAGAGGGCCTGGTTGGGGCGGGAGCTGCGGGGGTTTCCGGGGGCGGGGATGAGTGCAGCTGGGCTCAGCTCTCCGTGCCCTACCTTTCTGTCCTCTTTCTTGGTCTCCCCTACTCTCCTCCTTCCCCAAGCAGTGCCTGGTGGCGAGTTCCGTCTCTCGCGTCTTTTCCTGGTCCCAGGCAAAACGGAGCGGAGATCCTCAAACGGCCTAGTGCTTCGCGCCTCCAGAGAAAAATCAAAGGTCTATTTAATTCCTCTGGTTTGTTGAAGCAGTTACCAAGAATCTTCATCCCCTTCCCACAAAAGCTGCAGTGAGTCCACGTTCCTGTTGTGAGTTCTGGGTTCAGATACCTTGGTGGCTGGAGGGAGTGAGGGGGAGGGGAGAGTTTGAAATTATGATCCCTGGTGACCTTGTGTTTACACGAAGCTCAGCCTTTTACACTCAATTCTATCGCAGCGGGTGGGTCCTACACAAAAAGGAAATTGCCTGTCCTGGGTATCTTCACAACCGTGTTTTATAGTAGGATACATCTGAAAAACACAGAAACACTGTAGAAATAATCTTTCCAGTTCTCCCAAATTTTAATTTATAAATCAGTAACCAAATGCAACTCTGTATTTTGCATTGCATTATCGGATTGTCCTCATTTCTCTTAATGTAACATTTGATGCAGCTTTTTAAAAAACTTAATTTTCTATACTCTTTAGGATTTAACCATTAGGAGAATATTACGTTTGTCAGGAGGCCAAGTTAGAGTTTAGAAAAGTAAGTATTTTTAAATTGTATTTTGCTTTGAGCCTGATGATTCTGTGCATCTCTAAAAGCAGCTTAAGGCTTTCTGACCGTTCACTTGGAACTTCCAGAATTTACTTAGTTCCTAGCATTCACCACTTGGCAGAGACAGCATGAGGAATTCGTTTTATTACCACGGGTATTTAAATATTTATTAAAAAAATTGTAATCACAGTTTTGATTCATGGAACTTCGAAGAAAGCAGAGAAGATAGGCTAGAGATGCAATACCTTTTTTTTTTTTTTTTTTGATGGAGTCTCGCTCTGTTGGCAGGCTGGAGTGCAGTGGCGGGACCTTGGCTCACTGCAACCTCCGCCTCCCCGGTTCAAGCGATTCTCCTGCCTCAGTAGAGACGGGGTGTCACCATGTTGGCCAGGATGGTCTCAGTCTCCTGACCTCGTGATTCGCCCGCCTCAGCCTCCCAAAGTGCTGGGATTACAGGCGTGAGCCACCGCGCCCAGCCTACAAGAACATTTTTATAAACATTCTTACTGCCCTGTGAAATTTATTCCTGCATACTCTCAATTATTTTGAAAGGTTTTTTAAATTATGAATCATTAAAATTCTAATTTTGTTTGGTTGACAATTACTCAGCAATGCTTTCGGGTTTCAAAGGCAAAAACACATTGACAATTAGTCTTCCTCAACTAGTCCATGCATTTAAATTCCTCAGTTGTCATTCGCAAACTGGTAAACCATTTATTTCAAGCCCTGCTTCTCTCTAAATTGTCAGTTTAAACAACTAGGACTCTCAAAGCCTAAGGAGATACGAATCCAAGATAATTCATACATAGAAAAAATTCATACAGAGAAGTTGTACTCCATACCTGTGGCCTTATAACTACATAATTAATAAATCAGCTCTCATTATTGTGTGCTTATTCTACTCCACTCCAAGGAACAACTCTTTGAGTACTGTAACTCAGAAGCTACGTAAATTGCCTGAAATCACAGAGTTGGGCAGTAGTAAAGGCAGGACTTGCAGTTGGAGAAATCTCATCTCACAGCTGTGTTCTTTATATCACATGGATTTGCAATTGCTTTATTTTGTTTAATCTATTATTTTTTTCCTCATGTTGTCTCTCTATAGGAGGAGTCAATGATTTTTCTTTTATCCTCTTTAAGATAGTGAAGGTGTTGGATGTGAGAATGCATATGAAAATTGATATCCTAGAATTAAAACGTTATTTAATTCCAGATGGTACAACATCATTGTAAAAAACTCAAGTGTCAACTCTTTAAAGAAAAAGAACCTGTTAACAATGCTATAGCCTAGTATTCTGCCCGTGAACAATATGGTGTGTTAACTTAAAACTGTACGTGTTTAAAATTATTTGGATTGAGAGAAAAACTTCCTATTTTCTTTGTGGATTTTAGCACTTACAAAAGGTGCAGGTATGAGCAGATCTGAAGACTAACATTTTGTGAACTTGTAAACAGGTAATTCATTTTTCACATAAGAGGAACAAGTATATACTGATCATCTCTGAAAATACATATCTTATTTAATCGTTGAATAAACCTCTATGAACTGGGTATTATTTTATACTATTTAACAGATAATATTGAAAGCTACCATTTATTATGCACCAGCAATGTGTTAGGTTCTTTGCTTGTGCTATCAGTATAAGCTGTACGAAAACTACTCAGCACAGTCCAGTAGAACTTTTCTACAATCTTGGAAATGTTCTAAATTTTTACTGTCTTGAATGGTAGCCACTAGACGTGTGACTTTTTTTCTTTTTTTTTTTTTTGAGGCGGAGTCTGGCTTTGTCGCCAGGCTGGAGTGCAGTGCCGTGATCTCGGCTCACTGCAACCTCTGTCTCCCGGGTTCAAGTGATTCTCCTGCCTCAGCCTCCCAAGTAGCTGAGACTACAGGTACCTGCCACCACACCTGGCTAATTTTTTGTATTTTTAGTAGAAATGGGGTTTCACCATGTTGGCCAGGATGATGACATGTGGCTTTTGAGCATATGAAATGTGGCTAGTGTGACTAAGGAATTAAAACTTTTATTTAATTTTAATCTATTGAGATGTTAATTTCAATAGTTACATGTAGCAGTGGTTGCTATATCAGCTGGTACAATCTGTGCCGATAACCTTAATGTTATTCCATTTTTCTTTTTTCGAGATGGAGTCTCACTCTGTCGCCCAGGCTGGATTGCAGTGGCGCAATCTTGGCTCACTGCAACCTCTGCTTCCCAGGGTCAAGTGATTCTCCTACCTCAGCCTCCATTCTCCTACTTCAGCCTCCCGCATAGCTGGAATTACAGGTGTATGCCACCATGCCTGGGTAATTTTTGTATTTTTAGTAGAGACGGGGTTTCACCATGCTGGCCGGGCTGGTCTCGAACTCCTGACCTCATGATCTGCCCACCTCAGCCTCCTAAAGTGCGGGATTACAGGCGTGAGCCACCGCACCCTGCCTCACATTATTCCATTTTTCAAAGGAGAAACTGGTTCAGACAAGTTATGAAACTTGCTCAAGTTCACACAATTTTATTTAAAAAAACAGTTTTGAGGAGAGGAATACTTTACAAATGTTAATTCAGTAATGCAAGTGGAATGGGTGAAGGGGAAGGAAAAAGCACATAGGGCAAGAGAATTGAAAGTCAGAATCACATAGGTACAGTGTGAACTGAGAAGAAGAATGGTTTAAATGACTTGTAGAAATACAATTGCCCTCACTTGGTGACAGCATGTGAGGACTTTATAAGAGAGAACTTAAGATTCCTCTGAAGTCTTAGAATCGTCATAACCTGAAAAAAATGGTAATGTTGTTTACTGAAATAGAAAAATCATAAACAGTTTTGGGAATTAAAAGGATTTTGCTTTGGCTGTTCATTCAACACATAATTGAATGATTACTATGGGTAAGGTCCTCTGCTCTGCTTAGGTAGAGAAGTGGAAAGATTTTATTCCCTTAAGACACCATCCTCAATTTTCATACTATAGAAGATAATGAGCTCTGAAAGATGTGAAAATCAAATGTTCTCGGAGAAACGGGTGCTTATTTCTGTCTACAAAGGGCTTAGGTAAAGTTGTCTGTGGAAGATAGCATTTGAACTTTTGAAGAAAAGGAAGGATTTAGACATGTAAAACAACAAAGGGGCAAGAGATTTTGCTACTAGCAATGAGGTGGACAAAATATTTGAAAATCCCTTTTACCAGTACACCAAAATGCTGAATAAATTAGCTCATTAAATTCATGACAGGTCTTCTACGAAAGACAGGGAAATCTCCAGGGCTAAAAAGTTAAAAAAAAAAAAAAAAAAAAAAAGGCCGAAACTAGAGTAGTATACTAGCAGTGTATTTCCTTTGGGGGCATTTGGCTGATGGCAGAAGTAAAGCACAATCTGGGACAGGTGACAGGCTGCTCTCTAGCCAAAGCAGAGAGATAGAATTCATACCCCTGTAACCTCCCAGGCACATAGCTCCAATGGGTGCCATTCCATGGTAGTTGGTGTAAATGGTACCTGTGTTTCAGTGGGTGATGTTTTCATAGAATAAAGTTTAAGTATTTCCACTTGAAATTGTACAACTCATGGTATTGGAGAAGCACCTTCCCCCAACTTCAGCCAGGACCCACAAAAGTCTACACACTCAGTCATAGGTGGGCCAGAAAAATCTCTCCCTCCTGGCAAAGGGAGGTCACAAAGAAATTTGTTCATTTTCATCACAGCTCCAGGTGGGGGAATAAAGATACCACCTGAAAACTTGAAACTGGAGGGTCTGCCATCACTCATAGTCAAAAAGTTCAAATTTACATACCTACACGGTCTGAAAAACCAGAAGCCAAGAAATTAACATAAAGTTGGCCCGGGTTGCTGATGTGCCATACTCTCTGGAAAAAACAAATACGGATCCTCTCTGTAATGACTCACCCTTAGTTAAGCCTTTTAGGATACTTCCAGATTTTAAGATTGTCCAATATAGGCTCAGAGTCAAAAACTGTAAAACGTGTACAAGGGACAGCTAAACTGACATAGACGCCTAAGGATTTATGGGAATGTTCAGAAACAGAAATTAACATTTAAAGAGATGAAAAATGAAAAATTTAAAGATCTTAGAAATGACTCAAAATTATGTAAATTAAGAACTCTTGTCCTGGAAACCTATACAGGCGAAAGCACCAATAGGATTTTGGCAAGGACTTGTCATGATTAACTGAATAGATGAAGAAAAAAGATATTGATGGGATGTTAAGGACTGACAAGGAAAAAGGAAGAGAAAAGAGAAGATTATGAAATGCAAGTGTATATATTTAGCAACAAATCAGATGGCCAGAGTAAATGACAAATACGAATCAAAAATGGCTGAGATTTCATTCTTTGGAAAGTCAGTCTCAGATGAGGAAGCTGTAAGTATTCACAAAGGTCATGGGAAACACTAAATTTCTTTAGGTCATCAAAAAATATGAGAAGATACACCTTCAAACATGAAATTTTTCTCACATACATGGGAGTATTCTAATTTAAAAGTATTCCTATATTTAAAAAAATTAAATTAAAAAAATTAAAAGCATGAAGTTGTTCCAATGTTTCTTAATTCACATCGTTGACTCATTATTATTTAATAACATCCTTAGTCTGGAATTCAAGGAAGAAAGTGGTGATGTGTGGTATGGGGGTATTTAGGCCCTCTGTCTCTGCCCCCACTCCCGCTGCCCCCATGTAAGAGCTGGAAATATAATAGTGAACACAACAGTTGTTTCCTGCTCTCACAGAACTTAAAGTTTAGTGAGGAAGCGAAAACCAAACAAGCAAGTTAAATGTAATGAGTGCTCTGGTTGGGGAAGTAAAGGGTGCTATTAAAAACATAGCGGGGACACTCAACTGAAGCTGGAAAGATTGAGCCTTGAAAAACACAAAAGTTAACTGGGTAGGTAGTGTTGTAGTCACCATGAAGGTCTGAAGGTGTGCTAGAGAGCATGACACATTTGAAGATCTGCAAGAAATATGCTATGGCAGTGTGGCATAGTTGATTGGGCATTAGAATCAAATTGCTTGAGTTCGAATCCTGTCTCCACCACATCCAGCTCTATGACCTTGGGCAGTTGTCTTAACCTCTGTAATTCTGTTGAGGAAAGTACGTTATTTCATGTATTTAAGGTGTTTAGTAAACACTGGTAAGGCATAGTAAATGCTAGGTGTTTGCTTTTATAATAATGATGATGCTAGAGCAAAGAATTGAGAACCAAGCATGGCCAGAGGTGAATATAGAAAGATAAGTAAAGACAGGCCATGCACGGTGGCTCATACCTATAATCCCAGCACTTTGGGAGACCAAGGCAGGTGGATCACTTGAGGTCAGGAATTCGAGACCAGCCTGGCCAATGTGGTGAAACCCCATCTCTACTAAAAATACAAAAATTAGCTGGACATAGTGGCAGACGCCTGTAATCCCAGCTACACAGGAGGCTGAGGCAGGAGAATCTTGTACCTGGCAGGCTGAGGTTGCAGTGAGCCGAGATTGCGCCATTGCACTTTAGCCTGGGTGTCACGGTGACACTCTGGCTCAAAAAAAAAAAAAAAAAAGATAAGTAAAGACAGACGATGCAAGGACATATTATGGACCATGTTAAGGAGGAAAGACTTAAGGGTTTAGGGGAAACCATTGTAGGAGAATAAGGTGATCAGATTGGTATTTTGAAATTAGAAGGATTACTTTGGTTTTAGAATGGAGTCTAGATTGGTTTGGTCAAGACTGGAGGAGGACTGAGTAATAATAGAAAAACTAGGCTGGATTGGGTGGCTCATACCTATAATTCCAGCAGTTTGGGAGGCTGAAGTGGGAGGATTTCTTGAGCCCAGGAGTTTGATACCAGCCTGGGCAGCATAATGAGACCTCATCTCTACAAATAACAAAGTTAGCTGGGCATGGTGGTGCATACTTGTGGTCTCAGCTACTTGGGAGGCTGAGGTGGGAGGATCACTTGAGCCAGGGAGGTCAAGGCTGCTGTTAGCTGTGATTGCACCACTGCACTCCAGCCTGGGCAACAGAGTGAGGCCTTGTCTCAAAAAAAAAGAGGAAGAAAAACCAACCAAAGTGTTTTTCCTGTTCTCTCACTCAATAATCAACACAATACTTCTGTGATCATCAAGAAGTATGGAGATTTCTCTCCACCAGCCGACACCAATTGGATGTCCCCTAATTCAAATCTGATGATATCTACCTAGAGATAGCATCAGATTGCACGGGTTGAGGGCCCAGTCCCACTAGACTACCTCCCAACTTCTGACACCAATCACAAGCCTGAGTTGTCTTACCCATGTTTCTAACTGACTGGCTGTAAACCAAGGTTCCCACTAACCACTCCTTGTGTTTGATTAATTTGCTAGAGTGGTTCACAGAACTCAGAGAAACGCTTATATTTACCAGACGCACAAGGCAAGGGATACGGAAAGGGGTACGGAGCTTCTGCACCCACTCTGGGTATGCCATCCTTCAGGAATCTCCGCATACTTGGCTATCTAGAAGTTCTCTCAACCCAGTCCTTTTGGGTTTTTATGGGTTACACAGGCACGATCAACTTAACTGTCATCCTCTCTCTCTGCCTTCCTGGAATTGGGGATGGAGGACTAAATATCCAACCCTGTAATTATGCCTTGGTCTTTCCTGTGACCAGCTCCCATCCTAAAACTATCTATGAACTGCAAGCCTTATTAGTATATAGAAGACACTCCTATTACCCTGGAGATTCCAAGCGTTTTTAAGAGCTTTTTGCCAGGAAATGGGATGAAGACCAAATACATATATATTTCACAATATCACAGGTACCCCTTAGGAAGTTATAATCGACCAAGAGATGATGGTGGTTTGGGTAAAGTAATGACAGTGAAGATGGAGAAAAAGGGTAGATTTGAAATAAATTTAGGAGGTAGTATAAACAGTCCTTGGTACTTTCCGTGGGAAGATGGGACAAGAAAGCAGGTGTCTAGCTATGTCAAGTGGGTGAATCTTGGTTCCACTCACTAAGAAAGGGAAGGAGAGCAAGTGTTAGGGTATGGCATGAGGGATGATTTCAGAGGTGAAACAGCTTGAGGTGGTAAATACAAGGCTGTGGGGTGTGGATGGCTAAAGTAGGATGAGGAAACCCCTGTGAATTTTTTAATATGTTTTTTCTATTTCAGAAAACCTGTTTGAAATGTGGTGGTTTCAGCAAGGCCTAAGTTTCCTTCCTTCAGCTCTTGTAATTTGGACATCTGCTGCTTTCATATTTTCATACATTACTGCAGTAACACTCCACCATATAGACCCGGCTTTACCTTATATCAGGTAAGTGAAATGTATTCTTTAGATAGGAGACTCTTTACGTCTCATTCTTATTTTAACATTGAAGCCGACATTTAATGTCAACCTTTTAAAAATCAGATCTTACACTGGCATTGCAACAATAAAGAAAATATATAAAGGAACTTAAATTTGGCTTTTCCTTTGTGATAGAGAAATGTAGAGACAGCTCAGTAAGATTCAGTTTGTGAACTGGTTATTGAACTGTGACTCCTTAGTGCCTTGTTTTCTAAGTAAGTATTTGAAGTTATTTCAGAATATAGAATTGGAATTATTCTCCCCTTAAAGTAAAAAAAAAAAAAAAAAACTACAAACAATAATAATAATAATATGAAAAGATAATGGAAACAACAAGCATTTCTTGATATACTTACTACATATGAAGTAATTTTCTTTTTTTTTTTTTTTGGAGATGGAGTCTTGCTCTGTTGCCCAGGCTGGAGTGCAGTGGCGTAATCTCAGCTCACTGCAACCTCCGCCTCCTGGGTTCAAGTGATTCTTCTGCCTCAGACTCCTGAGTAGCTGGAATTACAGGCGTGTACCATTACGCTCAGCTAATTTTTTTATTTTTTGTATTTTTAGTAGAGATGGGGTTTCACGATGTTGGTCAGGCTGGTCTTGAACTCCTGACTTCATGATCCACCCGCCTCAGCCTCCCAAAGTGCTGGGATTAACAGGTGTGAGCCACCATGCCCAAAACTTTGTGTTTTTTTTTTTTTTCTTTTTTCTCTTTTTTTGACATGGAGTCTCACTCTGTTGCCCAGGTTGGAGTACAGTGGCATAGTCTCGGTTCACTGCAACCTCTGCCTCCCAGGTTCAAGTGATTCTCTTGCCTCAGCCTCTTGAGTCACTGGGATTACAGGCATACGCCACCACGCCCGACTAACTTTTGTATTTTTAGTGGAGTCGGGGTTTCACAATGTTGGTCAGGCTAGTCTTGAACTTCTGACCTCATGATCCGCCCGCCTTGGCCTCCCAAAGTGCTGGGATTGCAGGCATGAGCCACTGCGCCCAGCCTCGTAGAAAGTAATTTTCTAAGCATTCTTCATGTCCTAAATAGTTGAATCCTTACAACAACTGGATGAGATAGGAACTATGATCCTCATTTGAGAGAGAAGGAAATGAGGTCCAGAGAGGTCAAGTTATTTGCTCATGAACATACAACTCAGTTAGTGTTGGAACCAAGAATTAAACCTGGACAGTTTGACTCTAGAAGCTAGGCTTTTACTCTTTATGCTGCCTAGATATTTTTGACGTATTAAGTATCAAAATTGATCGATAATATTTTTGAAATCTCACAATGAATGAAGAAGGGATAGTCAGTTGCATATGCTCTTTTTTTACACTTGATCTTAGCCAAAAGGCCAAGAAGCTATAATAACCCTCTTTTTTTAAAATTGCAATGGCAGTAATTATTACAACAAATTTTAAATAATACCAGAGTGATTATAAAAATGAAAAGCAAAAATCCCTTCCTGACACCCTCCAATTTCTATACCCTAGAGACAATTCATAGTTTGGTAGATTTCCTTCCAGAGTTTGGTTTGTTTTATCTTATTATCCTGTATGTACAAAACTCTCTCTTTTTTTTCTCCTCCTTTCTCACTTTTTTGAGTTTTTAATTTTGTTTCGTTTGTAAAAAGTGATAGGATGTTGACAGAAATTGCTTACTTATTCTTTCTTCCCTTTTTTTGGCTGTTACAAACAGTGCTATAATGAAGGTTTTATTACATATAACTTTACATACTGATATTGATGTGAGGTAGATTTCTAGAAGTGAGATTGCTAGATAGGTAATAGGGCATCTACATTTTTCATTTGACATTTCTAGACATGCTTTTAAAAGTATTGCATCTATTTATACATTCACAAAAAGGATATGAGGAAATCATAATCATATACATGGTTTCTGAGCTATTGAGGCTTAAATTTCTCTATAAAAGGTAAATAAATTACATAGGGCAGAGAGATGAAGAAAGCATAATTATTAAAACATTGTTATTAAATATGATTAAGCAACTACTAGTGGGTTTTAATCTAGATGATTTCACATGGAATATAGTTAGGTCCGCCCCTGAAAGTATTCAACCTCTATATGATGCTTTTGAAACATCGGTCTCTTCATAGAGATGCCAGATTTTGTTGCTATTGTTAAGTAATATTTTTTGTTTTGTTGTTGTTGTGGTTGTTTCATTTATTTGTTTACCTTCAGAAAAATAACCTTTCCAACACAGAAAACAGTAATCTTTTAAAGAATGATAAATTGGAAGGTTAAATTTATCTTTTAAAAATGTCAAGAAAAGATCTGGACATTACTATTTACATGTTGTTTCTGCAGTGGTATGGCTTGGCACAAAAGATATAAACAAATTGGATGCAGTTTGGGAAGATTTACAAAACCCAAAAATGTTTTAGAATTTAAGCTTCCATTTCGAGGAATAATTTGATAAATAATTACCACTCTGCTAGTGGAATATGTAGCCTGAGGAGCCACACCATTCTTTAGTAACTCCAGAAGATACATATTTAACATCTGTGAGGGTCTTTCACAGTATTTTTTTTCTCCATCTGAGAACTTGTCTGCTTTCATTTTGAAGAACTTTTAGTACAGCCAGCCTTCCGTATCCATAGTTCCACTTCTATACATCCAGTCAACCACAGATTGAAAATATTCTGCAGAAATTCCATCAGGTTCCAAAACTTGAGTTTGCCAAGTGCCAAGTACTTTGTTGAATCCACAGGAATGAAGTGCTGTGTATTAGATGTTATAAGTAATCTAGAGATGATTTAAAGCATATGGGAAGATGTGCATAGGTTATATGCAAATACTACACCATTTTACGTAAGAGACTTGAGCATCCCCAGGTTTTGTTATCTGATGGGGGTCCTGGAACCAGTCCCCCACAGATACCAAGGGACTACTGTAATATAAAATGCCACTTAGTTCTTTTTCAGGGTTTCACTTCCTTGATGGTACTGCATGTGATTTTCTTTAAAAAGCACCCTAGGCACATCCTTTTCTGTTCTGCCCCTTCTGCTTTTTAATTTTCCTGCTGTTGAACTTAGTATTACCCTGAGGTCTTTCTCCAACATTCTGACATACATATTTAAACTCTAGTACTTATTTTTATTTCTTGTAGGCTCATTTCCTTCATCTGCAAAATGATTAAACTAGCTAGTCTGCAAAATTCTTTTCAGTTCATAGATCCTATCCAAAAGGTTTAGCTGTTAGCCTGGGCAACAGAGCGAGACTCTGTCTCAAAAAAAAAAAAAAAAAAAAAAGTTTAGCTGTTAACAGCCCCAGTGGACATAACCAAATGTAAATTTCACTTCAAAGGCAATTTTGCTATAAGTATGCTTCAGGTGTTCTCTTAGTTGGTTCAAGTAGTGGATGCCCAAGGGAGTGACTAGCCACTGGGGTAAGAGAAGAAATATTACAACATCTATGTATATTTTTAATCTAAAAACATTTAAACTTTGCCAATATTTAACATAAACAATAATGATAACATATATTTTGATGTTAGAAGGTCAGACATTTTTTGGTGATGCTGTGACCACTGAGATGAAGTGCTGTGATAATGAGGTGATGGGCATGGCTGTTTTCATTTGTAGGCCAGTGTTTGTCATTCTGTCCTGAGCCAAAGGAAGAAACACTCTTAGCCAACCATCCTGGAAATGCATACCTTTGTTAACTTACATGTACCATTTGAAGTGTATCTATGAAAATTATGGATTTCTTTTTTCTAAGAATAATACATATATATTGTGGAAAATTTGAAAAGTAGAAGGAACTTCTACTTTTTTATTCCCTCCTCCTGAAGATGGTCAAAGTACCAAAATCTTTTGTATGTAAAAGATCCGTTTTGTTATTTTATAATTGTTTCTTTACAAATACATTATTTTTTGTTTCTCTATTTTCACTGCAGATTTTTATTTTTTTTTTAAGAGAAAGACTCACGGAATTGTAAAGTTAGAAGGAGCAATCCTTATAATTCATGTTTAATATTTTCCATTTCCTAACACCCCTAATCTAAATGTTTACTAAATGTTATGGCTTCTTACCAGCTATAACTTTCTATTTCTTTTTTATCCCCATTGCATTGTCTTAGTTGAAACCCTGATTATCTCTTTCCTGTAGTATGTCAATTCAAGGCCAAAGACATTGTCTTTTTAGTCTTTGTAGTAGTTTTAAGAAGGGGAAAAGAACTAATATTTAATGGGTATCTCCCATGAGCCTGCTACTGTGCTAGATACTTAACATGCATTACCGTTACATTTCATCCTTATAGTGATATGATGAAGCTGGGAGGGAATGAATAGCCCCATTTTGCAAATGAAGGGAACAGTTTTAGGGAGATAAAAGGATGAACCTAAGGTCCTGCAGTAAGTAAGTGGTGGGGTTTTAATCTGCCTGGGTATGTTGCATACTGCCCTGAAAGACAGGCATGTAAGTGGATACATTGCAATGCTGTGTGGTAAGTGAGTTTATGGAAGTTCAGAAAGCATGCTGTGTGAGTCACTATCTGCTAGAGGAGTCATCCAAGGTTATAGAGGGGAAGAGACTCAAAACTGGTCTTGAATGTAAGCTCTGCGAGGGCAGGGGCTTTGTCTATTTTACTTATCACTGTGTTCCCGTTTCTGAAATGGTGTCTGGCACATGGTAAGTACTTGATAATACTTTTAAAAATTGATCAGTAGGTTAATAGGTGTTAATTGAATACAGGCATAGTCAACAAAAGGCGCAAAAAGGCAGAGTTGTGAAAAGCCTGTGGTGTTTAAGGAATATTCTGGTGGGACAGATAAATTCATCTGCCTGAATGATGGTCGGTCAATAACATAGTCTTAACATATCAAGAATAGCTTTTTAAAAATCAGTATATATTGATTTCTACTATGTGGAAGAGAAATAATCTTAAAAATGATGTGAGTAGAAAGTGAAGTAGGCAGATATTTGTGAACTCAAATTGTCATGTTCTCTGTGTAAAATGATATGAGTTGAACTCATGGACTTATAAAAGATAAGAGGTTTGAAGTAACTCCTGGTATTCTTATCCCTTAGAAGAAATATATGTGTCTATCTAGTGTGAGAAATGCACATATCTTCCTTTTTTTCTTTCAGTGACACTGGTACACTGGCTCCAGAAAAATGCTTATTTGGGGCAATGCTAAATATCGCGGCAGTTTTATGTAAGTATTGAAAGTGATTTTAACAATAATACTTAATAGCCAAATTGCTACTGTATTTTCTTCTTTCAACACTGGAGTGTTACTTGTTTTACTTTCTAGTTATATTTGAGAGTATGTTATCACTAAATAATTGATCATAATTATGCTCCTTTTAAAAGATAAACACTTTTCTAGAAATGTTGACTTATGGGAATAAACCTTTAAAAAATATGTATAGGATTATTCTACTATTCATTCAAATGGAAGTTGTTAAGTATAACCATATATTCCTTGAGGACTGTAGTGGACTTCTTAAGCAACCAGTAAGGAACAAAGAGTTGTGGATGCAGCTGACCACAAGTAATCCTAACTAAATTCCTTTGGGATAAGCAGTTTAGGTGTTTGAGAATAAAGATGGAACCATGTTTTGATTTTTGAGCAACATTCTAATGCTAAAAGGATAGAGTTGCTACTGAAGTATTTCATGGCCCTGTTTATTTTGAACCAAATTTTTATTAATGGTTTACTCACATATTTTTCCATCAAGTGTGATTGTTTTAAATATTTGCATTTTTCTGTATGATGTTTATTATTTGCTTGGGTCAAAAATGGAAATCAGGAAGATAATTCAACTTAAAGAAGTTCGTCTCATGACCAAACTCTTTAGAAACACGTCTTTACCAGCATATCTCTGTAATGCTTTCTACACTGTTGAATTCTCTGGCAATATTTCTGCAGTGGAAAATTTGATTTAGCTAGTCCTTGACTGATGAATATGGTAAGGTGGGCTTTTCCCCCTGTGTAATTGGCTGCTATATCTTATTGAGCCAAGTTGTAGTTTGAAATAAAATGATATGAGAGTGACACAAATAAGCTTTTGGGTTTTTTGCCTATGCCCGTTTTATCTATATTCTAGAACTAGTTACTTCTGATTCTGATGTTAATCATAAAAATATGTTGTGTTTTATATAACTATTTGTAAATATGAGACCCATGGAAGGCAAATGATTTGCTTAGTCACTGGAGACATCAGTAGTTCTGTAATACAACCTTAAGGCTCTCCAACATCCACAGCATGAGCCAGGCACACAGGTATGTGCCTACAGTCTCAACTATCTGGGAGGCTGAGTCCAATGGATCACTTGAGGTCAGGAGTTGGAGTCCAGCCTCTGCAACATGGAGAGACCCCCATCTCTTAAAAGCAAAAACAAAACTACAGCTATTTTGTTTTTTGTTTTTTTCTTTTTATTCTCTCTGGTTAATTTTAAAAGGAAAATCTGTGATTCTGGATAGCAGTGACATTTGTGAACTCTTCATTGGCAACTTTATTTCTTGGTTATTTATTACTTTGTTGTTTTTTGGATTATCTTTTCCCAGGCATTGCTACCATTTATGTTCGTTATAAGCAAGTTCATGCCCTGAGTCCTGAAGAGAACGTTATCATCAAATTAAACAAGGCTGGCCTTGTACTTGGAATACTGAGTTGTTTAGGACTTTCTGTTGTGGCAAACTTCCAGGTTTGTGTTCTAGCCCAGCATAGGTATTTTCCTTAAGTACGTAAATGTACTATATATTAAAAGGGAAACCTGAAGCATTCAGTTACATGCTGTTATTTCTTTACCTTAACAAAATATAAATCACTTCCTTTAAATTATTTGACCCTATGAGAAATAGCTACTTGCACAACTAGAAAAATTCATATTTAAAAGTCTGAACAAATACAAATTATTTTAACTTTTTTTTAGGATCCACAGGACTATAGAGTCTTCATTACTATTTAGTTGGAGATTACTTCAACTCACTACTAAAACAAAATTGATACAAATTATAAGTGACACAATTACAGATTTTAAAAGTTTTGTTTTTAGCATGCCTAACAATTTATAATCATTTACCTATTTTATCTACTTGTTTGGATGTTTTCATTGATTGCCCGCATTCCTAGGTGTCCTGCCTTATATATGAGGAAACGAAAGGAAGAGCTGTAGGTCTTCTGGCTTTTTCTCAGGAAAAAATAATGTCAAATACGTAATGTGAAAGTAGTGGTCAGCCTTCATCAAATATTTTTCAGTTCTCCACAGAGAGAGCAGTAGGAAAGAAACACTGGGCTCAACTCTGAATACAAGTAAAAGTGGGAATTTATAGCTGTGGAGCAGGGTGCAGTGGTTAGTGGATAGAAAATTACTAAGCTGGAAACGTAAAGGTTAAGAAGGAATTCTGGTTAAACTGCCTTGGTTTGTTTTGTGTTGCTATAAAAGAATACTTCAGGCTGGGTAATTTATAAGAAAAGGGCTTTATTTGGCTCATGATTCTGCAGGTTGTACAAGAAGCATGATGCCAGCATCTGGTTATGATGAGGACTTCAGGAAGCTTACACATGATGGAAAGCAAAGCGGGAGCTGGTGTGTGCAGAGCTTTACGTGGCAAGGGAGAAAACAAGGGGGTGGTGGTGCCAGTCTCTTTTTAACAACCAGCTCTCACAGGAATGAATAGAGCGAGAACTCATTCACCACCCGCAACCCCCCGCATCAGTCTATTCATGAGGGATCCATCCCTGTGACCCAGACACCTGCCATTAGGCCCCATTTCCAACATTGAGGATCAAATTGCAACTTGAGATTTGGAGGGGTCAAATGTCAAAACCATAGCGCTGACCTAGTAGGATTCTTGGTGAAGGCAGACCAGGGTGATTAGACATCACTTGAGGCATGGTAGAGGTGATAATTATATTTATGGTGATCAGATATTGAGAATGGAGGATTATGGCTAAATTGAACAAGATTCTTGCTAAAATTGGACAATGCAGAGATGAGATGAACATGGCAACCCAGAAGTCAGGACCTAGTTGACAAGAGAGTTCAGAGTAAGCTGAGCTGGGTTTGGTGAAGGAGAGAATTTTTGTCACCTGACAGTAACTCATGTAATTCCATTGACATTCATGTTTGCTAGATATAGGGGTGCAGCAGGTGTGCACGGGTCAGAAAAAATGGACCCTGGAGAAAATGTAGTTTTGCTAGACATTATTTCCCAGCAGCCACTTTATACTATGAAAGGCTACCAGCAATTTGGGTGTGCTACTAGCTAGCTGTCTGTGCCACAAATAGAGTTCTGCCTTCCCTAATCAGTTTCTGTAGCTCATTGTTAAAAAATGTTTTGGGGAATTTCAGTGTGAGGATGGTGATTCTCTGTCTCTTGGTCAATTTAACAATGTTTCTCATCACTTTTATGGTAAAAATGGATCTCCAATATTTGTTTACACAGCCCAGCAAATGCTAATAGCAGTTCTTGATAGCACCCACACAAACTGACTTTCCACCTTTATCTCATTTACTTAAGGTAGCCTATATACTTTCTTTATTATTTTGCTTTTAGCTTTTATTCTAATTTACCTTCACCCCAAGAGTACCTATGGCCGTGTAATTTTGAATTAAATTACTTTTTCTCTTTTGTTAACATCTCTTCATGCAACTTTAGTTGCCCTCTTCATCTTTCACTGATGGCTTTATTGCTGGGCCCTGTTTATAACCAGATCCTGTAGCATTACGCAGATATCAAACGACTCTCTTTCTTTCTTTTTTTCTTTTTTACTCACCGCTATCCTAATGAGGATCTCCTTCCTTTCCAGAGTAAACGTTTACTACTTAAAATGGCGAGTGCGCTGCTTCCTCCTCCACTGCCCCTTTTCTTTTGTGGAGACAAATTCTAGGTAATTTATACAGGAAAAATTTTACAAAACCAGGTCTGTAAATGGTTTACCCTTGCAGATATTGGCTTGGAAGAGAGGCTAGCACTGTGTTTTAAATGGAGTCGGGACTTACTGGTTTTACTTCTTGAATATTTTTTGAAGACATTCACTTCTTTCCATTTCTGTCTTTACTTCCCTCCTTACTGTCTTATTCTCAGCTAGTTTAGATTTAATTATCTCTCATCTGAGCTACTGCCATAGCCTCCTCAATGGTTCCTGTGCATTCACTCTTACATTCCTTGAGTCATTTCTTCATATTGTAGTAAAAGTGATCTTTTGGAAATGTATATACATCTCACTTTGCTTCCCTGTGTCCTTGCTTAAAGTTCTACAGGTTTAAAAATTATGTAGAAAGAGATACAATCAAGAGAGAAAGAAATAATTTGCTAAACCACCAAACTGCCTAACTCAAAGATCTTGTATGATCTGGCTGATGTCTACCTTTCAAGCCTAATTTTGCATTATTCCCCTTCTTAATGTCTCCATTGTATATATCACTTTTTGTGCTCCTTAAATAGGACAAGCTTATTTAATTCTCTTTCACATATTGTTTCCTCTGTTTGGTATGCCATAACGCCCTTTATATCCATGGTTGTAAATTTATTACTTTTATTTTTTAGTTGATGTATTTCTTTATTAATTACAAGCACAATGGTTTTGAAACGTTCACCGTTGTATTTCCAGCACCTAGCGTAGTACTTAGGACAAACATGCTTTCATTAATTATTTAGTAACTTATTGAGAGAGGTTAAAGGGACTATGCAGGATTATAAAAAATTCTGTTATTGCTATGGTTGCCTGCATTTAAAGAGATGCCTAATAATTGCTATAAAATGGTATTTGAAAAATCTAACTTAAAAAATAAAAATTGAATTTCTTTTAAAACAAATTTGTATATGTTCAGTAAAGTAACTACATGGCAAGTGTCTTCACTGCCTACTTAGAGGAATTTTTTTCTTCATACAAAATTTATCAAAGGAGAATAGTAAAAGTTTAGTAAGCAGAAATCTATATTAATTTTCTATGGCTGCCATAATAAAATATCAAACTGGGTGACTGAATAGAAATTTATTCTGTCAAAGTTTGGGAGGCCAGAAGTCTAAAATCAGGGCGTTGGTAGGGTTGATTCTCTATTGGAGGCTCAGAGGGAGAATCTGTTCCTGGCTTCTGGTGATTACCAGTAGTCCTTGTTGTTCCTTGGCTTATGGCAGCGTAACTATATAAAACCAATCAAGCTAGAGCCAAGGGAAAATGTTTCAATTTCTTGAGTCTTTAAATTTTATTTACAGTTAAATTGAATTTAAATGGAAACTCCCAGTTCCCAGCACTGCAGTCCATCCTAATCTTTTCTTACTGCACTGTGCTTTTCCTATGACACTTATCACCATGAGGCACACTGGAATTTCCTTATTTCTGAAGTTTATATTTATTGTTTCTGTATCTTTACTAAACTCAGAGCTGGATTTTTGCTGTTTTGTTCTCTAATGGATCTGAAGATTTAGAATAGTGCCTAGCACCTAATAGGCACCAAGTAAACATATTATTAAATGAAGAAAATAATAATTGAATAGTTCCTATTATATTTCCAGTGGAGATGTATGAAATAGTTTGGTATTACTATAATCCTCAGGTTTATGCTGAGTATTGTGAGAGAAAATTACCTCAGAAAGTAATTTGTTTGTAGAGTTGGCTGAGCTTCTCTACTCAGTGAATGTCCTATTGAAATCTCTGACTTGTGCATTTAAATGTTGTGTTGCCAATGTGTTCTGATTTTCTTTTATTGACGTATTTCTTCTTTCTATTCTCAGAAAACAGCCCTTTTTGCTGCACATGTAAGTGGAGCTGTGCTTACCTTTGGTATGGGCTCATTATATATGTTTGTTCAGACCATCCTTTCCTACCAAATGCAGCCCAAAATCCATGGCAAACAAGTCTTCTGGATCAGACTATTGTTGGTTATCTGGTGTGGAGTAAGTGCATTTAGCAGTATCCTTCACTGTACAATGTGACTACACTTGGAAAGGAATTGAATGACAAAATTTAAGTGAACACTATTGGTGCAGTGTAAGAAGCCTTTTTTTCTTTCTTCCTTTCTTTCTTTTTTTTTTTTTGTAGGAGAGATTCTTAGGTTCAGAACCCTAAACTAAAGAATTTGAAGTATAAAATTCAGATTGTACATAGCACTTCAGTAATTGAGCTAGGAACAAAAATGTTGAGCCTGATCATACTCACTTTAAAGAAATGAGAGATGAGTAAATGCCATCTCTGAGAACCATTATTTAGTTAAAAATTATGATAGAACTGCTAATTTTCTGAACAAAGAGGTGGGATTTGACTGTGAGAACCATTTTGTTGTAACCCTCTGAGCAGCACATTTTGTTTTACAGTACCACTGCTGTGTAACATTAAGTCTTTAAGAAAATGGGTTCAGACCTTAGCAATAAATGTGTGAGTAATCCTTTTAGACTGTAAAGTTATCTTTGTTCTCTGAGGTCTTCTCTGAGATTCTTCCTTGACTTATGTTTTTATAGTGCTGACTTGCTCATCAATTTTGCACAGTGGCAGTTTTGGGACTGATTTAGAACAGAAACTCCATTGGAACCCCGAGGACAAAGTAAGAACTTATAGTCTATAAAACTTCGTTTTATATTAAAGATGGTTATTTTGGTTGATCTTGATGTGTTTTTCATTTCATCAGTAACAATGAAGGTCTTCTGGTGGAATAATCAGTTCTGTATTAAAATTATTTTCTGGATATGGTAGGGTTTATGTAGAACCTTCTATATTCTCCTGTTACCTGTGATCTGTAGATATTGTCAAAATATGAAGAGCACTGTGATGGCAAAAGAGTTTTCTGAGAAATTGACTCCCCTAAATGTGGGTATAGTATATAATATAGACAACCACGATCATTTATGTTTTCAATACTTGCTTTCTGAATTGAAAAGACATCTCCCACTTTTTGTTATCTGGAAATTGATTATAGACTCTGCATTTAGGTTTCAGTATTGTCAATATCTGAATGTAGATAGCATCTTGGACCCTGAGAATAAAGGAAGGGGAACATATACTAAAGAATAAATTGAATTCCTCTGTTTTCACAAACCACTTGGTGGTGGTTTATTTAAGAATTAACCCCAAATTGGACATGTTTGTGGTAATGAATGAAATAATTTACTAGATTTTCCCAATTGTAACCCATATATTATTTAATATCATAAACACACCACTTACTAAGTTTATTCTGAGCATTGTTAAACTTTTCTTAGTCACATATTATGAATCTTATGGCTTTGGGTAAGGCAGTAGTAATTTCTCGTTTGTAGAGTAAAAATGATCCTGTTCTGTCTTAGCTATTTAAGTGGAAATTTTATTCGCTCCCAGTGAAATAAATAGAGTGTCATTTAGGAGGACTTCCTAATGCTGGCTCTTTAATTCTAGAGATATATGCCTGGTAAGTCAAGGGTTGATTTTCAGAAGCTCCATTGTTTTGTAAGAATTGTGTGTTTTTTATTTGAAACATAGTATATAGATCGTTTAAATGAAATTTCACAAAACTGTTGTTTTTTTCCTCTGACTCAGGGTTATGTGCTTCACATGATCACTACCGCAGCAGAATGGTCTATGTCATTTTCCTTCTTTGGTTTTTTCCTGACTTACATTCGTGATTTTCAGGTAAGAAAACAGTATTAGCTTCATTCAGTGAGACTTCCTTCTCTTAGTCCAGGAAGGTGGACTAAGAGAACTTTCCATAGGCAACTCTCAGCCTTTTTGAAAATTAACTGTTTATGATTTGGTATCATAAACAAGTGATGTAACTTTTCAGGTAAATTGTTTCTGTGTTTAAAGAAGTGTAGTGTATTGCTAGCAAGATTTAGCCTTGAAAATGGGGCTATAAAATAAATTTCAGAAATTCTTACATAGAAATTTTTATTGATTCTGTGTACTTTTACATAGGTCATTCTCAACATTATACTGATTCTTAGTAGAAACCAAAGAAAAACAAGGAACTTTATGAATACAGAAGCTTGGTTTTTCCAGATTTTAATTGGTACAAAGAAGATACCTTTGACAGTAAAACAGTTGTCTCACTCTTATTACCATTAGAATTGATTTACATTCGTAATCACAAGGTAGCCTATAGAACATATTGAAGGAGTGATCTCTCTTTAAGGAGGAAACTTCTATATATAATTTTCTTTTCTGTTCCAGAAAATTTCTTTACGGGTGGAAGCCAATTTACATGGATTAACCCTCTATGACACTGCACCTTGCCCTATTAACAGTGAACGAACACGGCTACTTTCCAGAGATATTTGATGAAAGGATAAAATATTTCTGTAATGATTATGATTCTCAGGGATTGGGGAAAGGTTCACAGAAGTTGCTTATTCTGCTCTGGAATTTTCAACCAGTTAATCAAGGCTGACAGTAACATTGATGAATACTGATAATCAGGAAACATGAAAGAAGCCATTTGATAGATTATTTTAAAGGATATCATCAAGAAGACTATTAAAAACACCTATGCCTATACTTTTCTATCCTAGAAAATAAAGTCGAAAGACTATGATATCATAGTTTTTTATACCTTATTTAAGAGAAACAACCTGACGTGCACCAATCAGTCTGCACATCCAGCCCTTCACATTTTATAAATTATTGTAGATCATATTTTGTTAGGAGCACTTTTGTGAGAGACATTTTCCGTGACTAAATAATCAGCATTGGTCAGTAAATTCTTTAGAACTGGGTTTTGAAATGGGAGTTTTATCATATTAAATCATTTCTTATAGTCTTAATTTTTTGTTGTTGTTCTGGAATCTACTTGGAAAGTAGACCTGGATTCGTGTGAGCTCTTTCATGGCTTAAGTTTTGCCCAAGAGATTTTGTAGGTGATGATTTTTTTTTCTTTTTTTTTTTTCTGATCACAATGCCAGATACTAAGCTGATTGGTCTGTCATACACATGCTTGCAGTAGTTTCATGAAGTTTAGTCTCTGGTGTGAGACTGTAATCACCAATGAAGGAGAGAGGTACCTATAGGTAAATTTAGTCATATTTTATATAAAACAAGGGTTAGTATTCATATAACATTGAAAAGTTTGGGAATAACAGCAGATATGATTAATATCAAACAAAAGTCATAACCGTAGTCAAGAGCTTCTTAGATTTTTGTTTATAGCAAGTTATAATTACATGTAAAAGTAGTCTTGAACAGGTAAATATTGAGCCTTTTTAATGGGATGTAACTTTTGTAGAGCCCAAATTCTAAAGAACAAAATTGGCAATCCAATTAAACTACATGCAAAATAATTGTGATACATGCATCTACAAAAACAATGTTTTCATTTTTTCTGGTTATGCAGATGATTGGATTGTTTCTCCTTGGATCTCTGTATGTACAGGTAAAGAATAGTTTACAGATCCCTGATGAAATGAAAAAGAAAAAAATGCTCATTTGGAAAGTGCCCAGTGATGAACTGGTTTGCAAAATAATCTTTGAAGACGATTAACCAGGTTTTTATCTTTTTAGAAGAGATGGTTCCCTGGCCAGAAGAAAAGATGGTGAGAAAACATTTAAACTGTCAGGTGGAGCAAGTCAAGGAATAATGCTTATGTGATGGAGACCTCAATTATAAATTAGTTGTTAAATACAAGAATCAGTAAATAATATTTCTGAAGTCTTCTGGACTGATAAGACAGAAAGGGAATAAAATACTATACCTATATTAAACAGCAGTAAACCTGGGAGACATTTCCATAAGTATTGATTGACTAAATGCTGACATTGCTAGAAATAATTTGGATACAAACCATGAAAAAGTATCATGCCTTTGAAAAGCACGGTGTAACACACCTGCAAAATGTTATTTAGTCCTGATTCCTGTATCAGGGAAGCTATTATTTAAGTTATGAAACATCATAGTATGGGGAGAAGGAAATTGACAGAGTCAATGTTTATAAAATTATAAAATTTGTATGGGGAAGGTGGCTCAGGGAAAAACATGGACTTTGTCCATTCCTAGAACATGAGGCTTAGCGATGCATACCAACATATTAAATAAATTGTTTTAAGACAAAAAAAAAATACTTTGATAATACTTGAATCCCATTAGTTAACTTTTACCCTTAGAAATAACATAGGCTAAAAATGTTAATACAGTTGGCTTGCATTATTCATGGCTTAGCTTTCTGCATTTTGAGTTATTTGCAGTCAATCATGGTTTGAAAATAAGATAATTTCAGAAACAATTCATAAATTCAAATTATAGGCTCTTCAGAGTAGTGTGATGAAATCTTATTTCCCTGCTGCCCAGAATGTAAATCATCTCTTTTTTCTGCATATCTATGCTGTAGACACTACCCATTCATTAGTTACTTTGTAGCCATCAGTTATCAGATGGACTGTTGCAGTATCTCGGTGCTTGTGTTCAAGTAGCCCATATTTTATTTAATGCCCCAAAGCACAAGAGTAGTATGCTGGCATATTATTATAATTGTTCTATTTTATTATTGTTGTTCATGTCTTACTATGCCTAATATATATGTTAAAGTTTATCTCATATATATTAAACTTTATCATAGGTGTATATATATATGTGTGTGTGTAGGGAAAAACAGTATATAGAGGGTTTAGTACTATCTATAGTTTCAGATAATCCACGGGAGATCTTGGAATATATCCCTACTGATAAGAGGATACTGCTGTAGCTTTGTGGAGGGATTATAAGAGAATTTGGAATGTGTGTTTATCCCTAACTGTAATGCTGAAGTGACAGAAGACAGTCATACTGACCATCAAAATATACCTTGCCTCCATTGTCAGATACAGTAGCTTGATTGAACAGATAAGGCATTTCTCTTCAATTCCATCAACATTTTTGAGTTGAATATTTAACTTTTAAAGTAAGAGGTCTGAAGCTAACAAAATTGGCAGATACTGTGAACTGATAGTGAAAAATCTGTTTCCTTTTTGTCCTGGGTATACAGCAAGACTATATTTCCTAGCCTCACATGCAGTTGGATGTAGGTGCAAAACTGAATTTTAGAAAGTGGAATGGATGTATTTCTATTTTTAAGGTTTTGAGAATTCATAATGCTTTCTCCCAGTTTTTTCTCTTTGTACCAATTGGATACTGATTACAAGCTTGTAAGAGATAGTGGAATCGGCTGGGCACGGTGACTCACACCTGTAGTCCCAGCACTTTGGTAGGCCAAGGTGGGCAGATCGCCTGAGGTCTGGAATTCAAGACCAGTCTGGCCAACATGGTGAAACCCTGTCTCTACTACAGATACAAAAATTAGCCAGGCCTGGTGGTGTGTGCCTGTAATCCCAGCTACTCGGGAGGCTGAGGCGGAAGAATCACTTGAACCTGGGAGGTGGAGGTTGCAGTGAACTGAGATCATGCCATTGCGTTCCAGCCTGGGCCACAGAGCAAGACTTTGTCTCAAAAAAAAAAAAAAAAAAAAGATGGGGAATCACAAGGTAGAAGGACTAAGATTATACTGTATTTTGTGGTAAGATGTCATATATTTTAAGTGCTCAATGAATTTGTGAAAAAGGAAGGTAACTTTTATCTTTCATTGTCCAGTAGAGACTTGCTGCAAAATGAAAGTTCAGCAAATAGTGACTTGTTTTAGTACCCTTGTAAGTCTAGTGTTGGAAATATTTCTTGGTTTTAAACAACCACTGTGCTGATTTTAGAAAGGGTGTGCTCATTTATTAGGAAACTAAGAAAAATAACAGACCTGGAACAAAGGAAGTCATTCTGAGGCATTATGGTCTAAGAACTGTGTCCTCCAAAGGGAATGATAATATGACTGAGAGTTCACCTGAGGCACAGAAAGCCAAGTACATCAATAGATTACAAGTAAAATGCCCCAGAAATTCAAAAATACACTATTGTGATTAGTGCAAAGAAAAATCTGTTCTTTCAAAAACTGGCAGCTCAGCTGAAAAGCAAAACAAAACAAAACAAAACAAAAACCAAAAAAACACTAGAATCTCGCCAGTGCTCATATCCAAATTTTCTGTTAAAACTTTGTCCACTCAAAATATCTGAAATGGCCAATCACAGTGGCTCATACCTGTAATTCCAGTGCTTTGGGAAGCCAAGGCAGGAGGATTGCTTGAGGCCAGGAGTTAGAGACCAGCCTGGGCAACATAGCAAGACCTGCATCTCTACAAAAAAATACTAAAAATTAGCATGACATGGTGGTGTATGCATGCTGTCCTACCTACCTGGGAGGCTGAGGCAGGAGGATCACTTCACCCAGGGCTATGATCACACCACTGCACTCCAGTCTGGACAACAGAGTGAGACCTTGTCTCATATATGTGTGTGTGTGTGTGTGCATGTAATACACATATATAATACAATTTTGTATATATAATTGAAAGGAGGGAGGAAGTTAATCAAACTACAGCTGCAACAAAGCCCAACTGCTCTCAACTGTACATCAGATTGATTCAGTGTCAAACTCTGAACCTAACAATAGGAGCATGCTGTTTTCTGGTGTTAACTATTACTTCTGTTCATACTTATCTTTTATAAAAAATACAAAGCACACAGTAAAAAATATATATTTATCATATATATATATCATATATATATATGAGACACGCATAGGAGGAAAAAAGTTTTATCCAGAGAGGAATCAGTCAATAGAAGCAAATTGAAATTGTCATATGTTTGCATTATCAGAGGGTGGTCATGACGATAAAAGTGCCTAAAGATCTAGTAAAACAAAGTGGAAAACATACATGAAGAGATACAGAATTTCAGCAGAAATATGGAAACAACAACAAAACACAGAAATCTAGAAATGAATATGATCTAAGAGTACACAGAGGAAAAGATCAATAAAGACAAAGCAATTGAGAGTATACAAATGGAAAAGCAAAGGAAAAATTATAGAATGAGTATAATTTTAGTAATTGTAATTATAGAATGAGTAAAATTATAGAATGTGTGTAATTTGAAGGAAAGTGAAATGGCCTACCATCCCTGTAATTGAGTCTCAGAAGGGGAAGATTGAAAGAATGATACAGAACAAATATTTGAAGAGATATTTACTAAGAACTTTTTCAAAGTTGATGGAAATTAACACACAAAATCAAGTTGAAAGGAAGTTTTTTCGAAATAAGATTGATAAACACCTGGTCAGACATATATACTGGGGTGAATAATATCCCTCCAAAATTCATGTTCACTTGAAATTTCAGATGTGACCTTATTTCAAAATAGGGTCTTTGCAGATGTAATTAGTTATGATAAAATCGTACTAGGTTAGGGTATCCCGAAATTCAATGACCAGTTTCCTTATAAGAAGGCATTGGCAGAGATACAAAGTCCATGTGAAAATAAAGGCAGACATTGGAGTGAAGCCAACTTTAAGCCAAAGATTGCCTGCAACCAGAAGTAAGGAAGAGACAAAGAAGATCCCTTCTTTAGAGTGTTGAGAGGAAGCCTTGATTTCAGACTTCTAGTCTACACAACTGTGAGAATAAATTTCTCTCGTTTCAAGCTATCTAGTTGATGTTATAGCAGCCTAGGAAACAAACTGATCAAGTTAAAAAGAGGAAGCACAAATTACTAATGTTGAGAATAGAAAGGACGTTATAGCCTGTTAACATTAAAGATAATAAGTGCATGTTACGAACAACTTTATGCCAGTAATCGAATAACTTAGATGGACAAATGCCTTTTGAAACACAACTTGTCAAAAATGATGCAGAATACAGTACATGAAAAAAGCTCCATATTTATTAAAGTGAATTGGTAATCATAAATGTTACCAAAAAGAAAACACTAACTCCTGGTTGCTCCAATGGAAAATTACATCAAATGTGTAGGTTAAAGATAATATTAAACTCTACAGAGCTTCTTTCAAAAATTAGAAAACAAAACAATTTTGAATTTGTTTTATGAGGCCTGTATAACCCCTGTATTAATCCATTCTCACATTGCTATAAAGAAATAACTGAGACTGGGTAATTTATAAAGAAAAGAGGTTTAATTGGCTTCTGATGCTGCAAGCTGTACAGGAAGCTTAGTGGCTTCTGTTTCTGGGGACGCTTCAGGAAACTTGCAATCCTGTTGGAAGGCGGAGGGGAAACAGGTACATGTTACATGGCTGGAGCAGGAG